CCCCAGCCAATCCAGAGCCTCAGATTTCAACTATGACATCCCAGCAACAGAAATGCTCGGGACACTGTAAGAATCACACTTGCCAGTGAGTAGAGAGCTGGGGCTGAATATAGACAAAGCAGTAGATTTTCAGAGCAGCAGCAATATTGTGTGTGATATTATAATAATATCACACACATTTACCTAAGCCAATGAGTCTAAATGTAAATTATGGGTGATGACGCCATGTCAATGACCTTCATGAACTGCTGTTGACTACTCTGGTAGTAGATGTTGACCATGGGTAAGGATAAGTACTTATAGAGATGGGTGAAATTCAAAACCTCGTACCTTTCTCCCCAATTAATATTGCTGATCCTAAAACTATCCCCCCCCAAAAAAAAAATTAAAAGAACGGGTATGCAGGGAAAAGAGAAGTTACGGCCAGGCATCAGAACTCTCTTCGTGAGCCCCTGACTTCCCACCATTACCTGTATCTCCAATGGGTCTTCTCTATACTGAGTTCTCCAGCTCTGTTGGAAGCTGGTGTATCTGAATGTTAAAATTCTCCAGAAAGAAGGTGCTTGAAGTCTGATAATTTGTGAAGGTTGATAACCAAAAAGGAGTATGTGACCTTCTGATATATTAATTATAAATTAGCATTTAAATCACTGCATACCTCTGAGAAATAAGTCAAAGTATTTATTTATGACATATTTACATACTTACAAAATTGATTTTATCCAATACATCACTCTACATAATATCACAAAATGAATACAATATCCTAGGAAAAATCTACACTTTGTAATAATTTATGTTTAACTCAACAACTTTTACAACAGATTATCAATTTGGTTTCACAAATCACACAGTCCTTAGTTTTTGCTTTCTTTTTGCCAAATAAAAAAAGTAAACTAAAGGGTAGGTGAAGTAATTTAGCTGACCCTGAGTAACTGCTAATTTGCATAATTCAGAGTAGATGTACATGTGTGCTTTCATTTGTTTTCTTGTATACCTACACTTAAGATGGCAGTATCTTACCTCTAAAGACTGAGGAAGGAAAACTGGAAAACAATGACAAGGAACCAAAAGGGACAACGATCAGATTCTAAAACTTTTCCAACTGCAGAAGTCCATGATAGAGCTTCAGTAGAGTTGTCTCAAAAACCGAGTAGGGACCTGGGGCCAGGGCTGGGGCTCTTCATTAGTGCAGAGTGCTGGCCTAGAGTAAATGAGGCTCTCAGCTCCCCACCCAGCAATGTTATAAACATACCAAGCCAGAGCAAAACAAGAAAAGCAACAAAACAGAATAGGAGGACCTTGGAACTAAACAGTTGAGCAATCTTGTGAGGCTGATGTTAACTATTTTTCCTACTGATAAAATAAGAATTCCATAATCTGGAAGGAAAAAAAAAACACAAAAGCCACCACTGTGACAGTGATGATTTTTTTCCTGAAAGGCTTGAAAAATGCAGCAGCTACCCACAAACCCCGTAAATATGTCAGTGTGGAAGTTACACAATGACAGGCAGGAAGAGAAAAGGGGACAAGAACAGAGGGGCTGGGAAGAGAACCATGGCTTTGAACTGTCCAGGCATAAATGGCACCATGCAGACTGAGCAGGGATAACAAGGGTTATCCTTAACAAGGGTTAAGGAAGATGAGAGGTGGAGTCAGCCCTGCTCTAACATCTTCTACGGAGGATTCTGGGCCAGATGAAACCATCTACAGAGGGATCACATTGGATCAAATAGTTCACTTTTCCACCTGCCTTCATTGCTACTCTCCTCCCCACAGAAGGCAGACTAGGTAACTACAATTATCCGATTTCAATCAAGTCATGGCATAAATCTGCCATGGTTATTAAGGACTCAAGAGAAACCATCACCCAATGAGATGTCAGTGACCCCCACTGAACCTACTGCAATGATCCTCTGAAACAATAACTAAGGTAACACAGATTCAATAAAACAAGGAAGGGAAGAAATAGGGTACCATCAGGATCTACAAAACTTGCCTTTGGAGTATAACAAAACACTATTATCCAGGCAACACCCCCATCAAATACTGTTAGACAAGAACAGTTGCCCCTGTTGTGTTTGTGTGTATATGTGTATTTTCTGGGGACTGATCCTAGGTTGTGGCATTAGCTAGTGTTCCATCACAGAGCTACATCCCCAGACCAAAAGGGCAGCTTTTAAAAACTGCACAGCAGCAAGTGATAAGACCCTGCTTTTTATGCATGAAGAGACAATGATAAGTCCTGTGGCTGGATTACCCTGGGCCAGGCGAATCTCCATAGCCACAGACTTCCTTCCTGTTTAACTAAGCAACAAACACAGTGCTTGGAGATTAACATAGACCCACCTCAAAAGTAGTAATTCTCCTCTTTCTGTAAAAGAAGAGGCAATGACATCATTGCTGCTGCAAAGCAGTGTGGAACAGCACACTACACATGTGAGGACAGAGAAGGATGAGTGCAGAGTCTATTAACTCTAACACCTACAGAACTGTATCAACAAGGAAAAGAAAGCTAAATTACATTTCTGTACCAAATTGTCTTCAGGAAGATATCTGAATTGCATATATAGAGTTTAACTATGTAAGAAAAAATTTTATTTAATTTTGACTTATTTAAATCCCCAAATGGTAAAATATATTATTTCAGGGAGGAAAAAGCATCCATTAAATGTAATGGATTAAATAAACTACATTGAATTATAAAATCATCCCCTTGAAAACATCCATAAGAAATAAAGGCAGAAGGGCACAGTTAGAAAAGTCAAGCTGTGCTTAAGGCAAAGCAAGAAACCACATTAAATCTACACAGGGTCCAGACAATCAACACTCAGCTCATGACTTCCCACCCTCCCCAAACTGGGGAGTTATTGGCAGGTGATGGATTCTGAGGGACAGTAAATTTTCAAGGGTATAGTCCTTTTTAGGTCAACTGGTTGCTAGCCTCACACCTATTTGGGCAGTACAAATTGGACTTGGTGGGATGTTATTAAAAAAAAAAAAAAAAAGAAAAAAAGAGGCCAAGAAGGGGAGCATGTGGTGGGAATGGAAGAGTTAGGGGAGGGGTGGGAGATGAGTGTTATTAGTGCACACTGAATGAACTCAAATAATAAAAAAAGTAACTTTAACGAAAACACACTCCATCCTAACAGAAGGGAGCCCTTCTTATAGTTTAGAGGCTGTGAGGCTGAGAGTGGATGCAGGAGGAACAGCTGTCATGAGAACTGATTTGTGGAAGTGTTAACACCACTGTACAAAAACAACACAAGAGGGCTGGAAAGATGGTTCAGTGGTTACGGACATTGATTGCTGTTCTAGAAGAGCAAGGTTCGATACCCAGCACCCACAAGGTTGCTCACAACCAACTATGACTCCAGGTTTAGGGTTCTGATGCCCTCTTCTGGCCTCCCTAGGCACTGTACACACATGGTGCATAGACATACATGCAAGCAAAACACCAATACACAATTTTTTTTTAAATCTCAAAACAAAATAAAAAAAATAACACTAATACACTTCTGATCTAAAATAAACTTGGATGATTTGCCTTTTAGTTCTCACATAGCAACAAAGAAAAATAAAATGTTATTTTCTGCTATTCATAGTATAAATCTGTAAAATGTAGAAATTTAAAACAAAAAAGAAGCAAGTATAACTTCCAAACTATACATGTACATAATGACAAAAAAATCTCCAATTGGTTAATTTG